GTTATATACTCATTTGTAACTGTCGGTTTATACTCATATGTAACTGTCGGTTATATACTCATTTGTAACTGATGGTTATATACTCATTTGTAACTGTCGGTTATATGCTCATTTGTAACTGTCGGTTATATACTCATTTGTAACTGTCGGTTATACGCTCATTTGTAACTGTCGGTTATATGCTCATTTGTAACTGTCGGTTATATAATCATGTGTAACGTTATTTTATTTCAATGTTTGCTCTTTTCATTCTTCCTCGTGCTTACACAATTACTTGTTCGACAAAAACACAGTCTGCTGTTATTTTACTGGCACGGTATATACCGTAAGTAAAACATTTACAGTGCATTTACCTTGTTTTGTTTCTGTATTGTTTCACGGCCCATCAACAATGCGAGTCATTAAGGGCCAAACAACACTTTAAAATAGACATCCACAAAAATGAAAACATTAAACTGGAAATAAAAAATAAAAAAGGTTAAAAAATATAACAGTGAACGAATTGGTTGTAAAATATATCAGATTTTATTATAAAGATCAATTTAGTGTTAATAATCACATATTAATTGAACAGAAAATGTATCAACAAAACTTTTTACAGACGATACATGATAGATCTGTCACGGTTTTTGTTTGAAATCAGCGTACACAATCATTAAATGTGTTACCGTACATGGCTCATCACATGCATTACAATAAGGTTGCTCTCGTTAAAAACTAGTACAATGACGGAACATTAACCCGGGACCTCTGGCTTACTTTCATGTTACACATATACATTCGTTGGTTATCAATTCAATTAATATGCTGATGATTTCTTCTGATATCTTTTAGATTTTAATGTCATTTAGGTTGTTTTTTTTATCAAATTTGATTGCATTGTCTATGCACAAAGGTAATGTCACACAGGTATACATTGTTATATCACACAGGTATACATTGTTATATCACACAGGTATACATTGTTATATCACACAGGTATACATTGTTATATCACACAGGTATACATTG